CCCAAAACAAAAAACTTTGCACCCATCCTATCTGCAGCCTCCTGAGTAGCTGGGGTTATAGGAGTGTGTCACTATTTCTGGCAAACTCAAACACCTTTCATGATGGGGCCAAACCTCCATGTCCAGTGGCATTTTCTTTCGCTATGGCCACATTTGACGTGTAGGGGGTCAGAGTGTAAGGACAGTGGATGAGGCTAGACGTCGGCACCGCAGATGGTCCTTGCGGGGACATGAATGCCCAGTAGCCCGTGTGTGGAGGTTGTGAGGACTTCTACATCAACCGTAAAACAGTGCCACTCCGCATAAAGCCACAGGATTGACTTTGTCAATGTCCTTGATGCAATATGGCCATATGACTTTGCGGCCTGTGTGTCCTTAGCAGAGGCCACAGGGGAGTCCTTTACACGCTGCCTCATGGCGGAGGTGAGCCTGCCACCACTTCGGGAGTTACTGTTATGTTAGTAGAAGGAGCTGAGCGTGGCGCGCACACCTATGTCCCCAGCATTTGGGAGGTAAGTCAGGGGATCTCGAGTCTGAGGTCAGCCTGGACCCTGAGGAAAGACTGCCTAAACTGAACAGTAAGTTAAGCCGGGCTGGCGAGGAGGCTCAGCAGGAGAAAGACTTGCCACCACGGCTTATGACCTGAGCACACACCAACCCTGGGATCTGTGTGGGACAAGTAGGAAACCCACTCCTGCAGGTGTGACCAGATGTGTGCTGTGGTGCCCATGTGTCCACGCACACACGGAAAGTAAGTAAGCAAGAAAATGCTGTTTAAAAGCAGCCAAAGACAGGAAGGTAGGAAACGGGGGTGGTGAAAGAGCAGTAGAGCGTGCGCTGGGGAAGCAGTGTGGCCTGGGCTGACGTTTGATGGTGTGACTGTGTCTGGGGGCTTGGGCGGGAGGTTGGGGTCATTAGCTGGCTAACTTCAGAGATGCCTTCTAGTAGGGGACTGTCCTCAGGCCCTCATTCCCTCCAGGCCACCTTAAAGACCTAGGGATGGTTGGTCCTAGGATGCTCTGGGCAGACAGGAGGGGGTGGGGTGGGAGGCAGAGCTTGGGCTCACTGACACAGGGTACCTTGGAGACAGCCAAGGAGTCCAAAGACCCAGCCACGCAGGGCCGCATGCATCTGACGCCCATCCACAACCGGGTCATCGGCCCAGAGGCTCAGCCAGTACCCCTGGCAGAAGGATGCCACTTGCTGGCAGAGGAAGAGGAACAGGGTGTAGGTGCAGAAGGGTGTGCCCACAGCCTGCAGGTAGCTCAGGTACGTGGTAGCCTTCACCTATAAGACATGCAGAGGAGGGGTGGCAGAGAGGGGGATGAGAGGGGAGTGAGTTGGGTCTAGGTCGGGTCAATTTCCCAAAGGCATCATCAGCAAAGCCTCACTGGGCATGCTACAGACCTCAGACCCTGCTGCCTGAGACCCATGAGGGCCATGGGGAGCCGTAGCTACCAGATGATCTGAGTGGTAGGTGAAGAAAGGACAGGTGAGGGGAGGCACACATGGGTTAGGGATGGGCTGAGGACAAAGGCAAGGGTATGGAAGAGAAATGATAGCATAAACTTCAGATTGGGCTACCCTAGACTGCAATGTTGGCCACAGAGACAAGAATCAACTCCTATACACCCTGACTCCTTCGTCTTTGAAACGAGGCTATTACTGCCAGGAGGTGGTGGTTTACACCTTTAATCCCAGCACTCGGGAGGCAGAGACAGGCAGGTCTCTGTGAGTTCGAGGCCAGCCTGGTCTACATAGAGAGTTCCAGAACAGCCAGAGCTACACAGAGAAACCCTGTCTCAAAAAAACAAAACCAAAAAAAAAAAAAAACAACAACAAAGAAAGAAAGAGGGGGGAGGAGAGAGGGAGGAGGAAGGAAGAAAAAGGAGGCTATTATCATCTAGCTTTCGGGGTGCAGGAGAGGGAGGTGGGAGATTGTAGGGATTAAGAAACAAGAAGCATTAGAAACCCATTTGACCCATAGCGGTGCTTGAGAAAGCTGAGTGCCCTTCCCAGTGTGTGGACTGGAGCACTGGTGCTTACCCGGCCATACTGCACACTGTCCTCTCCAGCTGTCAGTCCTGTCCCCTTAGTGTCATTCGGAGAAAGCTCTGCCTGTGCCTCTGACGTGGCGCTGTCCTTCCCAGGGGCTGATTCAATGGGCCTGAGCCTGTCATTTAGAGGAAATCAGGACATGTTAGTGTATCTTCCCATGGGGAACCATGGCCCCTTCAGGTGCCAGCCAGTGAGCTCTTCAGTATTCTTTCTGGATCTTTATTCATTTACCCAGGAAAGAAGGTATGGGGAGGAAGGGAGAAGGAGGAAGGTAGGCATTCATGGATGCATGGATGCATGGATGGAAAAGTGGATGGGTAGATACATGGGTGAATGCATGAATGGATGCATGTGTGGATACATGGGTGGATGCATGTGTGGGTGCATGGGTGAATGCATGAATGGATGCATGTGTGGATACATGTGTGGATGCATGTGTGGGTGCATGGGTGGATGCATGGGTGGATGCATGAATGGATGCATGTGTGGATACATGTGTGGATGCATGTGTGGGTGCATGGGTGGATGCATGTGTGGATACATGTGTGGATGCATGTGTGGGTGCATGGGTGGATGCATGGGTGGATGCATGAATGGATGCATGTGTGGATACATGTGTGGATGCATGTGTGGGTGCATGGGTGGATGCATGTGTGGATACATGTGTGGATGCATGTGTGGGTGCATGGGTGGATGCATGAATGGATGCATGTGTGGATGCATGTGTGGGTGCATGGGTGGATGCATGGGTGGATGCATGAATGGATGCATGTGTGGATACATGGGTGGATACATGGGTGGATGTATGAATGGATGCATGGGTAGATACATGCATGGATACATGGGTGGATGCATGGGTTGGTGCATGTGTGGATGCATGAATGGATACATGGGTGGATACATGATCCAGGCACCATATTTCCCTCCTACATAGTAACCAACTCCATCACTCCATAGTCAGACAGCCTGACCCTTGATGCCATTTCATGAAATCAAACAGTTGTCTGGATGGGGAACTCCGTCTTCCGAAGTTTCGCTTTGGCCTAAGTTTTGTTGCGGTTGTTTCCCCTCTGCGGTTTGCCCTAGACTCATCAGTCCAGCTTGTATGAATGAAAGGTTGTTTTGCATTTTTATGCTAAAGATATTTGTAGTTCTGTCATCTATGGAAGGGTGGACTGATTTAGATGTTCTGTGGTTCAATTTCCCTAGCTAAAAACAATGGGGATAGCTATCAGTTATTACCTGTTTATTGTTTCCCTGGCTTTTATCAATCATTTGTCCTCCATAAATCATGTATCCATCTGTTCGTGCTTCTTTCCTTTCCTAAGCATCCCAGCATCCTTCCATCTGTCCGTTCATCCGTGTGTCTAACCCCTGGTCCTCCACCATGCACCCCAGCATCCTTCCATCTGTCCATTCATCATGTGTCTAACCCCTCATCCTCCACCATGCACCTCAGCATCCTTCCATCTGTCCGTTCATCCGTGTGTCTATCTAACCCCTCGTCCTTACACTCACCCGTACCTCTTTTCATCTTTCCTTCCTTCCATCCATCCATCCATCCATCCATCCATCCATCCATCCATCCGTCCATCCATTTATCCTTTCTCCATCCTGCCCATCTACACACCCGTCAGTCAGCCTCCCTTGCTCCCACCACACATTTGCCTCTCCGTCCATTCCCACATCTACCTACGCTTCTGCCTGATCTTCCTCAGGGTGGCCAGCGGGCCTGATGTCAGAGGATCCGTCCCCATCCTCAGCATCCACAGGGCCTGCAGACCCTCAGCTCCCCTTGTGTGCTCTCCCCACACTGCCTGGTACACCGTGGCCTCTGCTGTCAAATCCAGGTCCACAGCGAGCCCACATGTTCCCTGGACACAGAGGACTGGCAGGAAGGGGGGCAGTGGACTCCCTCTGGGCGCCCCCTAGCTGTGTGCTTGGCCAGCCTCCAGCCCCCCCTGCCTGGCAGAGGAAAGTGCAGTCTAGCACAGTCATTTCCAGCCATGGTGAGGAGCTTTCCTGGAAGCCAGCCTGCCCCGCTTTACTGACGCATTGGCCCACTTGGAGTACTTGTCTTAGGGCTGACCATGTGGAGGCTTACCACCATCAGCTGACTGATGGGTCATTTGGGATGAACGAATTATCCATCACTGAGCCCGAGGGGTATTCAGCAGGCACTCCATGTGTGAGCTTGGCCGTCCCCTCTCTGCCCGAGGCACAGTGGCCACAGCAGATCTTGTTTTGGCCTCAGCCTGGAGCTCCCCTGCTTAGCGCCAGGGAACCCACCTCTCCGGTCTGTGCTTGGGCCTCCCACTTCCAGGAAAGCCTCCAAGGTCATCGCGGGCGGCCTCCGAGTGTGCACCTGCAAGGGTTGAGGATGTCAGTGAAGGCCACACCAGAGACTCCAGATGTTGGTTTTGACATTCACTGCTGTGGTGCCTTAGCCTGAGGAAACATTTCCTAGCATGGTTCCTGTGGCTGCTCTAACAACCTTTCTCTGCTCTCAGACTGTCCCCTGGGGTCACTGAGAAGTATCACTCATTCATCCTCATTCATTCATTCAGAAAATACTGAGCACATGCTATGGAGTTGGGAAAACACCAAGTTGCCTCTGCATCCCCAACACACTTGCTCAGGAAGTTCATTGTGCAGAGAATGTTTTTTCCTCGCAAACTCGCGAGAAATCTCAGGTGCCAGGTCCCCCCAACAATAATCTCCCTTCTGATATTACCCAGGTTGGGCCAGAAATCTAAGCAGAAATCTAATAGCTTAGTCCCAGACCTGTGAACAGGAAATAACTGCTATTATAAGCCACTGAAATATGGGTGATGTTTGTTATGCAGCACTGTCACAGCAAAAACTGTCCAATACAAAAGGCCCCATCTTCTCCCAGAGACTCAGCAATGCCCAGCCAATACCTCCTTCTCCTCCACCTGCAGGCTGTCTGGCTCCATCCAGAAGACGCACCAGGGCTCCATTCCTGTGCAGAAGGTCCTGGAAAGAGCCCATCTCCGCGATGGTCCCGTTGGCCAGCACCAGGATCCAGTCAGCCTGGGGCAGGACGTGCAGTGCGTGTGTCACAAGGATCCGAGTCTGGGCAGGGCAGGGGCAGAAGTTACATGTGCTGGAGTGTCCCAGGTCAGAAAGGGGAACGGGTGCACCTGCCCTGGCTCTGGAGAATACCATATCCAAAGAGAAGAGGGGGTGTCTCAAATTGGGAAGATGTGGGCTTAGGGTAACCCTTTGAGAGAGTCTCATTCTGATGGGGTTGTGGGGTGATCTGAGAAACTCACCTTAAGATCAAAAAAGAACAAGTGGAAATACGGTAAAAAGTGTTTCGTTTGTTTTTTGAGACAGGGTCTCACGTATACCAGGCTGGCCTTGAACTCACTCTGTAGCCTAGTGTTCTAACTTCATTTCTGTTGCTGTGATAAACACCATGACTGAAAGCAGCTCAGGGAGGAAAGGATTTATTTGACTCACAATTTCAGGTCACAGTCCGTCTCTGAGGGAAGTCAGGACAGAGATCCAGGCAGACCTACCTGCTCTTCCATCAAGTCAGGGAACTCACTCCCAGCCCAGGAATTACAGCAGGAACCACACGGATGCTGCTTACTGGACTGCTCCCTCACAGGACCATGCTTACCTAGCTCCATTGTACAACCTAGGCCCACCTGCCTAGGGACAGGGGTAGTGGCATCCACACTGGGCTGGGCCCTCCTACATCAATTAACAGACATGCCCATGGGCCAATATGATCTAAGGAATTCATTGATCAAGGCTTTCCTCTCAGTTGACTGGGCTGTGCTAAGTTAACAGTTAAAGCTGGCCAAGACACCAAGGATAACTGAATTTCTGACCATCCTGCCCCCATCTCCCAAGCAGCAGGGTTACAGGCACACACCATGGCTGCTCGTGAGATGTTGGGATGGAACTCAGGGCCTTGTGCATGTAATACCACCACTGAGTCACACCCTGGTAAGGGAATACATTCATTATTCTTTTTTTTTTTTTTTTTTGGTTTTTATGAGGCAGGGTTTCTCTGTATTGTTTTGGAGGCTGTCGGTCCAGCCTGGCCTCGAACTCACAGAGATCCGCCTGCGTCTGCCTCCCGAGTGCTGGGATTAAAGGCGTGTGCCACCACCGCCTGGCCATTCATTATTCTTAACACATGGAGGACCAGGGCTCAGCCATGACTTGCTTCCCAGACCTTGCTTTTTCCTCCTCAAGATTACACAGGGTGTGACCACCAACCAGCACTATGAGAAAGTATGGCTACCCAGGGAAAGGTCAAAAATCTTTTAAAACATCTTTAAAAATGAAATATGTAGGGGAGCAGGGGAGGAGAGGAGGGAGAGGGAGCTGTGATCTACATGTGAAGCAAGCTTGTTTTTAATTTAAATTAAAAAATTAAATAAGCGCCACTTTTAGATCACCATAAAATTGAAGCATTATATAAATGGTTTAGCCACAAACCCCCTAAGAAGTAAGCCACTGAGATTTGGGGAACTGTTTGTTACACGGCATTGTTGCAGGAAAAGCTGGTTGCTGATACAAAGAAGAAAGTTGGATTCCAGAAGGGCTGATGAGACAACTCTTGGTTAGGACTGGACTCTGAGGACTTGCTCAGATTCACTCTGACACACACTTACTGTACCCTGGAGCAGTCCACAGGGCCCAATGACATGTTTGAAGACATGCTGACTGACGTGGGCATCCAGGGCCGCCAGGGGGTCATCCAGCAGGTACACAGAAGCCTTTCTGTACACAGCCCGAGCCAAACTCAGCCGTTGCTTCTGACCCCCGGAAAGATTCATGCCCTAGGAACATGAGACAGGGACTCAAGTACACATCCGCTGGTGACATCAGAATGACTGAGTGGCTGGTCAGTGGTGGCGCACGCCTTCAATCCCAGCACTCGAGAATGAGAGGCAGGTGGATCTCGGTGAGTTTGAGGCCAGCCTGGTCTGCATAGCTAGTTCTAGGACAGCCAAGGCTACACAGAGAAACCCTGTCTCAGAAACAAAACAAAGCAGGAAAGGACAGAATGGCATAGGTGAGGGACACACCTGGGCTTTACGACAGTGAGGGGCAGCTTAGGGCTCCTGTCCTCGGGTCACACTTGTTTCTAAACACACAGCCAGTGTCCTTGGGGGCCTGGCCTGCTTCTCCCCTTCCCAGTCCCTTCTGGAGATGCCGTGTGTGCTGTGCAGGCTCCTCCCTCTCTTCCAGGTTGACTCCACCCCCCTCTGCTCTGTGTTTCTCCCCATCTCTCCATTGGTGACATGTTCGCTGAGGACGCTGCTCACTCCCTTGTCCTTATTTTCATTCATTCATTTGTTCAGCTAATGCTCACCCATGGCTACCCTACTGGGATGTACTTGGCGGTGGGATCTAGCGGTGAGCGCCCTGCTCTCTTAACCCTGTCATTTAATGAGTGCGCTGGGGATGGTGACCACAGCAGACCTGTCCTCCAAGGTAACGGAGGGCAGAAGCCCTGTGTGTTGCGTGGAGACAGCAGGGCATTCCGCTATCCCTGTGTCTCTGTTTTTATTTTTAAATCAGTTTCTCTTCAATAACAGACAGCTGCTATGTTTGGCCTTGAGCTGGAGCCTCCTGCCCTCCACCTTCCTGTCCCTATTGTCCCCAGGTCAGGGAGGCATATGACCCCACGGGTTCCTTACCTGTTCCCCTATTGGGGTGTGAACTCCTGCAGGGAGGCTGGCCACATCAGACTCCAGGGCACAGGCTTCCAGAACTCTCTGCAACCAGGGCAGGTCCAGATCCTCCCTGAAGCACACATTCTCCACTACTGAGGTATTCTGAACCCAGGCCTCCTGGGGTACGTAGGCTACGGAACCCTGAAACACGCCTCGATGTTGGTAGCTCATTTGAGAGGAGGGAGACTGGGGACTGGGGCGGGGATCTTGGCTGTGAGGGATCTTAGTGGCCAGGGCAGGAAGAACAGGGGCGGCCTTACCTCAATGCTCACAGACCCTTCTACCTTCAACAGCTCTCCAAGCAGGGCAGACAGTAGGGAGGACTTCCCAGCCCCCACGGGACCCACAACAGCCAGCAGACAGCCCCGGGGTACAGTGAAGTCGATCCTGACAACCCAAGGGAGATGCAGCCCTGAAGACCCAGCCTGGGTGTGTGCAGAAACAGGGAACCCCAGACACCCACCCTGTCGTGCCATTCCCGCCTTGGGGAGACCACCAAGAGGATGTGCAGGGCCTTTCCTCCCTGATCCTTGTCTGGCTGTCTGAACTGCCTTCCCTGTCACACGTAAGCACATCACATGTGCCTGCCGCCCAAGCACTTTACAGATATGCCACACACATTAGTACACACGGTCACACGCAGAGCCAGGGTACAGATGCAAGCACGTGTGTGCACCCGCGCGTGTACCACTGTAGGCGTGTCCAGGCACACACGCACATGCACACACAGAGGTCAGGATGCGAGTTGCTTGGCTGTGGTAGCCTCTTGCTCAGGCTTTTGCAATACATGCCTTGCTGCTCTCCCTGCCTCTGGCCCACCTACTTCTGCCCTTACCCAGCAGTCACAGGGACCTATTAAAAACAGAGTCAAGGCCAGGTGTGGTGGTGCGCACCTCCCGGCACTTGAGAGGCAGATCTCTACGAGTTTGAGGCCAGCCTAGTCTACATAGTGAGACCCTGTTTCAAAAAACCAAATCAGTTCCTACCCCCTCCCCAAGCTACACCAGGCAGCACTCCAGTTTGACTGAGGGTCAGAAGGAATGTCCTGGTGAATACGAATTATAACCGGGCACACTCCGCGCTTCGTAGGCACAGTCCAGTGGTTCTCAACAGGGGTGATTTTGCCCCAGTTGGGTGAAGTAATTTGGCAACATCTAGAGGTAATTTTGTTACACAGTTGCTTGGGCCTGGAGTTCTGCGACACTTAGCTCTTCTCAACATCCTACAAGGCCCAGGACAGCCCACAGTGAGGAATTCTCAGCCCCAAATACCGACAGGGCAAGTCTGAGACATGCTCCTGCCTCAGGGTCTCTGCTCTTCCCCTGACCTCTGGACCCTTAGCTGGAATGCCAACTTTCCCACACTGCGGGCTTCGTCCCTTCCCCAGGCTTTCCACTTGTGTCCCATGCCCATCCAAATGTCACCCCAAAAGGGCGGAGCCCCGGCCTCCCTCTGTCCTCAGCACCCAGAACAGCAAGTGGACGCCCATGAGCGCTCCTGCGAGCGTGGGTAGAGATAGACAGAAATGACCACATTTCTCTCTGCGAGGGACAATGACCTTGGAATTGAGGCACAGAAGGAGGCCGCAGCTGGTGAGGCTGGGTCTCAGCCTCCTGTTGCCAGATGGGGAGCAGCGGAGTGTCTCCTGGCTGATGGGGGCTCAGGCACCCTGTGTCCCCTTCATAGAGCTGCAGCATGCAAGAACCCCGGCCTCCCTGCACAGAACCCCAGCCTAGCCTAGCCTATCCCTCTAGTCCCAGGAACAACACTGTTTCTCAGAAACCAAGAGTATCGCTCAGTAGGGATTCATACCCGTGCAGGCAGGGAGGGCTCTCCTGGGACCAAGCAAAAGTGCCATTGTGTACAGAAATTCCATCCTTTGAGGCTGCAGGACATAGGAAGACAGTTATGGGGCTGGTCCTGTCCTCTTGGTAGCCCAGCTTTCAGTGTTCAAGACCTCAGGTCTTTTGCTTATACCTCCCGAAAGTATCAAGTTTCAGCTAGAAGCCTCACAAGGCTCTTGCCCGCTGACTTGGCAGTGATCCTGTCATAGTAGCATTGTAATTTGGGGACTGGCAAGCCTCCAGGTTCAAATCCTGCTTGTTGCCTTTCTTTTTTTTAATAAAGAAAATTTGAAGTGGGCATGATGACTTATGCCTGTGATCCTAGTACCTGTGATGTTGAGGGTAATGAGTTGGAGGCTAGCATGGGTTATAGAGCACATGTGATGCCAGATTGGGCTATAGAATGAAGATCACTAATAAAGTTAAATGCATAAATAAATAATCTCAGTGTGGTGCCTGCAATCCTGGTATTTGGGAGGTGGAGGTGGAAGGATCATGAATCCAGCTTTGACTAAATAGCAAGTTCAAGTCCAGTCTGGACCCAGGCTCAATTCCCAGCCCCCACATGGCAGCTCACAAACCATCTGTAGCTCCAGTTCCAGGGGATCTGATATCCCTTTCTGGTCTCCCTGGGCATCAGACACCCATAGGTACACGGACACACATGCAAGCAAAAAAATTACACATATAAAATAAAAACAAAGAGTCCCCACCCCAATTTTAAGACAAAGTGTAAATAAATAAATAAAATGCATTAATTTTGCATAT